CACCAATTCTGCGGCGTCCACGTGGATCCAGCGGCGTCTCGTCGTGTTCCACCATTCATGGTGGCGCCCAGATTGGGGACATTGTACGCGCGGGTCCGTACACGGTCCCGGTGCATTCAGCGGCACACCGGCCCGGTCGTGCGTGCCGGTGCTTACCAAACGCGCGGACAGTACACAGGGTAACAAGCAATAAAAAAAATTTTTTTATTGCTTGTTACAAAATTGTTTTCTTTACACCAGTTGATTTGTATCATTATTCTGTTCAAAAAAGTATTAAGGTAAGATGATAAAAAAATGAATATTTTACAAGATACTTTGTAATTTACGTCAAAATATTGGAACTTTCAAACCTTAATAACTCAAAAAGTTCTTAATAAAAAAATACTTTATTATAGCGTTTTGGAAAGCTCTCAAGGTTAGCTACAAGAATATGTAATAAAAAGTGGGGGATGCCGTTTAAAAAAATTGGTGTGACCTTTATGTGACCTTCAAATAATTCTTCAAGGTCAAACTAATGGTACTTATGGCCCCCTCGAAACCATACAACTTTTGTCTGAAACTTTTTTTGATTTGATGTGCAGTTCTCGAGATTTTTCGTTGTCTCAAGATAAAAAACTCACCCTGTATACGCGCACCGTCGCATGTGAATCGTACGGTCGAGTTCATAGAGTCGCATTGGCAACGATCGAGCGACAAGGAGAAATTATCGAGAACGAATAAGGGGATAAGGGGAAGAGATGGGAGGATGATTTGTGTAAGGATGCGGAGAAGAGAGAGAAAAACTGTGAGAGAGGGAGAGGGAGGGAGAGAGAGAGAGAGAGAGAGATCGAGTCACGAGGAGATGCGTGGTCGGAGAAAGGAGACACGGAGCACACTTGGGCCGAAGATGCATGCAGCTCCGAGGCGGATTGTGCAAAAGCTCGGCCGTATACTCTCATCTCGCCGGTCTTCCCGCGCTATTATGCGGCTGCCGAAGATAGGAGAGAGATGCTTATCCCAGCCCAGTATTCTTTACACTGGATATTGAAATTGGAAGCAGGGAAAGTCGACGGCGACGACGACGACGATTACAATGTTTGACGTTGGTATATCGCGACCGCATCACGTTCGCGTAAACTAGGTCGCTATTAGAAAACCCTCGCGATTGCCGGCGATATCCGCGTATGTAACTTATCGAAAGTTACACCGCTATCTGGGACCGTCGGTAACGCGTCTAACGCTCTCGTATGTTTCCCCCCCTGTGCATTGGATTCAACGATCCAATTAGTTCATCGCAATGAGACTTCGTACGTACGTGAACCTGGAATTCGCACGTACGCGCGGCCGGTTATTCGCGCAAAGCGGTGAAATCGTTTTCCAATTACACATTTTCCGATTTCGTGCGAGAAACGAGCGATAAGCTTGGATTGCAAATCTTGGCGAGGCGCGATCGAGGCACCGGCGGCTCGTTCGGAGATGAGAATTATAGGATTTATATTGGCAAGAGGGGGGGACCTCTCTCGGGTACTCTCTCGAGCCGGCCTCGCTAAGCGCAGGTGGCATTCGGTAGCCTGCGCGCGAGAGCGCCCGCCGCTCACTCGTGTCTCGGCGCTGGTCGAGAGGACGAGATTATATATACCGTATTCAATCAGCGGAGACGATAATGACGACATTATCCGCGGAAGGACGATGAAAGTCAGGCGGTTTACCGTTTTCCACGGTGGGTACCACATGAAAACCGTTCTACGGCTATTGCGCTTCACGACGCGAACACGCCGGGGAGATACCGAGGCATCCGGGCTTTTATCTCTCGTTCCCTGCCAGCCCCTTACCTCGTATTTCGCTGCGCGCAAACATGCCCACATTCCCGCGCACCTGTGTGCCCTCCATATATATATATTTTTTTTCCCCACTCTATTGCGCGGCAACGGCATAATTGAATTAGACCGGCGAAGCGCTAAACGATCGAAGGCGGGCGGAGAAATATTGTACACACTTCACGGAGAGGGGAGCAATTTGAGGGTTTACGCCCTGCGCGGCGGCGGTTCTTCGGCAAGAGAGGAGAAACAGGAGAAAACGGGGCCTCGTAGTGCCCTTTGTCGCGCGATGGCTCCTCTCGGCGGAGGATAACCCCCGAGCGAGTTATGAAATATACAAACAGAAAGACCTGGCGCTCTTCAAACAACTCACGGCGACTCGCGGACGCGTGTGGGTAGGTACACGGGTGCGTTTTCTTTTTTCGGAACGCGGTACCCTTCAGGACCCGTCAAGGCACCCACCCGAACCCATCGTCGTCTGAAGGAGGCACTTTCGACGGTCCTGCGAGCGTACCCGGCTCGCGAGGGCACGCCTGCCTGCGCACTCCAGCGTCTCTCAAGAGGACTGTTTGGGCATCCTCGAAATCGCTCGTACATTATGCCGTAATTACGTTTAGACGACGACGGCGGTCTGGTCGTAGGTGGTGCGCTACTAATTGGGTACAGACAAGACGACTCTCCCGGCTCCCGAGAGGGACTTGGCTGGCGCACCGCGCGATAACCGTCCGCCAGAACTGTTTCGATAGATAAAGCGCCACTTTTAGCATCCAAGTCGCGTCATTCCTCTTCATTGCCTTTTAAATACGAGACAATTATGTACACCCAGAAAAAAAGGACTGGTCAGGCTAAACAAATGAGATACGTTGAAGTCATTTCTTGAATCTACTAAATTTCTATTCACTTCTACTGAAACATTTGCTAGATTTGGAGAGGTAGACGTCAATTCTCTTAGAAATTCCAGTCTCAATCAAATAAAATGTTGGTCGAGGTAAGGTGATTATTTCTTTGCAATTAAATAAAAGTCTAGTAAGGTTCAATTTCAAACGAGCTTTTTTTCTGGGTTGGAAATTGTGGTTTGATGTTTCAGGCATCTATTATTTCATGTTTAACTTAACATCAGTTGTACCTGAATGTTTAAAATGTTGTTAGCATTCACGAAATAAAATGTATCATATATTAATGTTTTGTCTATAATTACTTATTTCTCCTTGATTTCATATTGTTGATATTAAATGTTGCTTATATTAAGTAATAAGATGAAATATTAATGAGGTACGATTAGGTAACTCTCCCCTACCTCGTATTAAAAAAGGCGAAAAATGTAAGGAAGGAGAGTGACGATTGGCGCGAAACCTTACGGAAGATTTGCGATTTTACAATGTGTTACAAAATTCGTATGTAAAACCGCCGGCTGTTCACGGTCGAACTGACTCGCAACCGCAGGAAAAGCGGCAAGGCAAATTCAACGTGGGTGAACGATGGTAAAAATTTCGCCGCGAGAGAGTTGGCCGGGGTGCGCGCGGCGAGAAGGAGGAACGCAGCGGGAGGGACGGAGGAGCCGACGCGACGGCGAGGAGTTGCCAAGCGACTGGAACCAAACTGGAATTCTACGCAACGACTCGCGCGGATGGGAGACCAGCGGACCGGAAATCCCTCGCGCGGATTCGATGGCTCTCTTCTCGCGCCTCCTCGCCTCGCCGTGCGGACAAAGGAAATCGGGGCTAGAAATTCGCGACTCATCCGACCGGCGATATAACGCGAGCCGTAAGCGCGCCGATCTCTCGCTCGCTCGCTCGCTGGTCGTTAGCCCCGCGCGTTGCGAAAGAGTGGCGCCGCCGTTCTCGCCGCGGTTCGCGCCAGCTCGGCCGCGGCTTTCGGCGGTTTCGCGAATGGCAGCTCGAACGGAGAAAAGAAAACATTGGTATATCCATCATGTGAGAATACCAGGTGTAAAAGACCTGTGTCCACGTTGCCGGAACTCGGTCCAAGCTCTGGTTCCGAGAAAGGTGCGGCCAATCAACCTGCATCTTTTATGGAAAAGCTGCAAGTTGATTGACTAAATATTTCTCAAAACTAGGACTTGGTCCAAGCTCTAGTTTCGAGAAATGTGTAGCCAATCAACCTGCATCTTTTATGGAAAGGCTGCAAGTTGATTGACTACATATTTCTCGAGACTAGAATTTGGACACAGTTCCTGAATCGTAGACACAAGGCTTAAAGGCTTGTGTTCACGATACTAGAACTCGGTCCGTGTTCTAGTTCCGAGAAATGCGTAGCCAATCAACCTGCATCTTTTATGAAATATCTGCAAGTTGATTGGTAAAGCATTTCTCAAAACTAGAACTTGGACCAAGTTCTAGCATCGTGGACGCAGGTCTTAACATTCCCGTGGATGCGCACACGTGACCAATCAGAAATTCGTCCCAAACCTTCAAACTGCAAATCTTGCGGTTGAATGCGGCAATGAACCATTGAACAATTTGCCCCGAAAATTGGTTGTACGCGCAATGTTTCACCTTGTACCTTTACGGGTATATCCACGCGCACGCGTACACACACATACGCATTGTCGGCCCCCGGGGGGGCGGCGTCGCTAATGAGACGCCGCCGTTCTCCATCGGCGTCGTGTCACGGCGTCGATGATAAATGATGCCGGTGGCGGCCGATTCGTAAGCCCGAATGTGTCGTCCCCTCGTTACGACTTCATCCTCTCGCCCGTCGTCCGTCTTTCGGCGCGACGTCATTGTGCCGGTGACCAAACAGAATTACGGCCCCGTATGCGTACGCCGCACGGCGTCATTAATCGCGGGACATCGAATTAAGCCCCGTCTCCTCGTGGCGCGCGCGGTGTAACGGCGACCGGTTGGGATTTTCAGCCGACGTTCGCGTTCTCACGGATATTAGGTGAGCGCCGCCGCGCGCGTTTCGGCTTCTCCGAGTCGCCTTTTCTCGATCCTCTCCGCGCGCATTTAGCATTAAACGCGTTTGTCCGACTCGTCGCCTTCGGCAGCGCCGACATTAAATAAACAACATCAGCGAACGTCGAATAAATGAGATTGGTATTCATAGTAGATTAAGCGTAGAACACGTTCGCCGGACCTTTTCAACGGCGAAACTGTACTATTTATCGCACCACGCGAGGTGAAAATAATTGACGCTTAAGAAAACACAAGTTCAGGCGCGGGCTGTCGGCAAGTAACTCACCGTCCATCGGAAAGTGAAGTGAAGTTGCAGAGTGACGGGGTCGGTGAGGGTGAAAGTGTTCGGGCCGAGGGCGTGACTAGATACGTTGCCGAAGCTACAGGAGCCGATGGCGGTGACGTTCGACTGGTACTCCTTGAGGCAGAGCCAGAAGGCCGTCGAGCAGGGCGTCGTGCAGGGCGGGAAGTCTCCTTTTCCGCCCCCGCCTCCCCCGCCGCAACATCTACCGTCCACCAGGGTGCCCCTGTTGTTCGTCAGCGAGAGGATCTGCACCTCGAAGTATCCGCTCGCGGTTGTTGCCTGCAACAGCCAACGGAAACGTTAACATTAACCCGGCTCGTTAGACATTCTCGATGCCATTCTCGTCGCATTATTAATCTCGTTATGTTATTATCGTGACATTATGTCACGTTGAATGCCCAGCGTCTAATGGAGGAAAATGCTCCTGGGATTAAACAACTTTTGCCGTTTCAGATCAAACGACCCGTGCTCAGACAGTGTACATATAATACAAGAGTTGCGCAACGACTTGTTAAGCGTGGAATTACTTGTTTCTCACTAACTTGTTAGGAGTTTGTTTCGTAAATCGTGAAATTTAGAGAAAATCGCGAGCGAGATAGAGAGAGAGAGAGAGGGGAAGAAATGAGAAGCCCCTTCCAATGTTGCGAAAGGCTTTTTCATCAAATTCGGTTGCCGCTTTTGCGTCAAGCGCGGGAACCTGAAAAGGCCTCGACTTACTGTCCATTATTGCGTATCGTGGAAACGGAAATCTCATGTTAGCATCTCGGGACAAAGGGAGGGAGTGAGAGAGAGAGAGGCCTCGGGCGAATGCACCGAATGCAGTAGCAGCAGCAGCAGCTTCGGGCCAATCTCGGGAAAGAAATCGAGCAGTTTCGAAACTGCAATCACGGCCGGGCAATTTTCGAGCTCGCCGCGATACTGCGTGCCGTTACGCGCGATACGCATCATACATTCTACATCCTATAAGTATAACGAATCATCACTTTTGCCTCACCGTTGCGAATCGGGGTTCCTTGTACGCAATTTGCATAACGCCACGCAAGCGGTTTAATCCGCATAGCAAATATACAAATATACACGCGTCAAGACGGAAATAAAAACCAAATGTTCACCATTTGCCTCATCTTAATCTCCCCTTTTCAACTTTGTGATAACGCGTTGTA